GGTGTTGTATGAAAAGGCCTTTTGCACAGAGTGATTCTTTGGAATAAGAACTTGTTTCCAACATTATGTACTGGGTTTTCTTTGACTGTTGTTACTGGCTGTCCTAATCATTGCTTCTAAGAGCAGCCAGCCAAGGCCTTGCCCAGGTTTTCTCCCAGAGTTACCACAGGTGAAGAACCCCAAGGGAAGCAACTGTGTGTTTAAAAATGACATCAATGTGAAGGAGAGCATCACCCCTCATTTAAATTGTCTTCTGTCTATCGAGTTCTTCACCAGCTGGGGGAATGAACAGTATGTTTTATGCTGAACGCTGAGAGATCGAGTGTGGCTCAAAGCCATGACCTCTCCAGCTATCTATTTTTTCAAAGGCTCTTTCTTTTCCCTGATGTCATTAGTGTTGCTATGGAGTTTCACAGTGCTCCACTTGGAGACTGTTCATACAGTTACTTACACACACACTTAAATGACTTAATAAAATGTATACAAACTTTTATTGAGATGATCTATGATTTATTGATTGTCTGCAGTCTGCTTGGTAAAATATAAACATTGGGGAAGACTTGGTCTCTGTCACTTGAGAGTTATAATCAGATTCAGCAGAACAAATCAGACCAAAATGTAGGCTGCAACAGCTTTGGCTTAAAAAAACACCAACAAAATAAAAAATGAAACCATCTTGGTCTGATGATTTAGTAGGATTTGAGTGATGGAAAATGGAATGTGTACTTCAGGCAGAGTCAGTACATGCTAGTGTTGGGTTTTTTTTGTTTCTGTGTCAGGTTTGAGAAGAGGGAAGAGCAGTATTCCCTTTAGCTGACTGCTCTACATGTGCTTGGGTCACTTTACTTTGGTTTAACAAGTCATAATGCAGCAAGTTGCCTGTGAACCTTTACTTAGTTCACAGCAAGCCAATTTAAGCTACAGTAAAAGATGTTAAAACTATTGTCTCTAATCAAAAGCATGCTCACAGGCAGCTACTAGGTCTCAGCTGGTACCCAGTGATTTCTGATTTATGAATCTGAACTTTGGCCTTCATCTGCAGTTCTGTTGGGATCAGCCTCTGCTTAAGAGATTTGCCAGCACAGCTATGCTGACAGAACAGTCCTTGTGTAGACTCATCTTTTACTGAAGGAAAAGTGCATTTGCTAATAAAGTTTACCAGTTCTGTTGAGTGAAATAAACCATGCCAGCAAAAAGACTTTAAAAGTCTGTACTTTTGAGCTTTGTCTGCCAAAGAAATGTCAGTTATACCTAATTAGTTTACCTAAACAAGCAAGGGCTCGTACTGGAGAGCTGGCCTTATTTTCCTTTAGATTCTTGTAATTGTTCCACTTGACATTGAACCTGTGAATGGAAAACAGTGAAGATGGGAACACTGACAGAGTGTGCACCCCAGTCCTGCCATCCATAGTGTTTCAGCAAATTAGGCATCCTTCTGTACTGATTTTTTTTTTACCTCCAGGTAACTCCATTGGTTTCCAGAGGGTTTCTCACATGAAGAAATCTTCATCAGATTTAAACCTAAAACTGCACTACCAGTGAGAAAACAGAGCTCAGGTTTGGTTTTGGCTACATTAAAGGCAAATACCTTTCACATGTAAGGAATGCTGTGGTATAATGTGATTTTGTCCATCATATGTGCTGATGACATGTTTGAGCACTTAACCAAAACCTTGTAAGATATCATTCATAATGATATAGATCTTTAAGCTTAGATTATAGATCTTTAGGCCATTAAATATTACACATAATGTAGTGAGGAGGTCAATGCTGTGTTCTGTGATGTCTAACTTCAGTGCTTTCTGTAGTGCCTATTACAGCTCATCAAGCCTAGAACAAAGACTAACTGGGGATCCATTTATTAAATTTATTATTGTTCTGATCCCAGTTACCTTCTTTATAGTCTGAGTGCTGCAGAATCCCTCAAAGATGTCACAAATGCCAGGAAGCTCTGACACTGATAACTTGCCTAGAGCACGTAATAGATTATAAGGAAACACTGTCTGCCTAGGTGTGGCTCCAGTCATGCTGCCATGAGGATGGAGCAGCACAACAAAGCCTTTTGGGAAATCTTTGTCATGTTCTTGTGCTACACAGGCTATACATCCTATACAGTGAGGCAAAGTCTGCTTTTGCTCACACCCAGGTGGCTTGGCTGCCTTCACAAGAAGCCGAATTGTAAAGCCAGTGTGTGTTTAGAGAAGTGAGAGCTGAGTGTGCCCAAGGAAGCAACAGCTTTGCAGCCTGGGATGTACCAAACCTAAAAACACCCTTGAAGTTTTCTAGTGTTGTTAATAAGAGCAGGTAAGGTTATAAATACTGTGTTGCCTGTCTGCTGTGATGTTGTGCTGTGTTTACTCTGGGCTCACATTTTGCTCCTGTTCTCAGATCTCTCCAATGACAAGCTATGAGTATATTTACTGCTCAGGAGAAGTTTAGAAAAGCTTGTCACAAATTCTGGCCCTCCATGCTGTGGTACAGGTTCAGGTGGAAGAGAAGGCTAAAGCCTGGCATCACACCCTGCTCTGCCTTTCGCTCTGATGATGAATATTAAGTAATTCCTTCCATGGTGAATTATACAGTATCTGCTTAAAATACTAATATGTATATCTATGACTAAACAATAATGTTAAGTATAGATTTATTAATTTAATATACCAAGATGGTGCACTTGTAATAGGACTGGTTTATTTAATTGCTAGCATTAACCTCAGGTTTAAAGCTAGCACAAAAATGTGGCAATCAGAGTCTGAAAAGTAAGAATACATTTCCATGCACTCTGCTTTTCCCTGCATTAACAAATGTGCTTGTGCTCTGACAGAGGTTTCAGGCCAGGAGAACAGAACTGGAGAAGGGAAAGCAATTCCCAAGCATGGACCCTCAGTGGTACTCTAAGGTAGGGAGATGCCTGTCTGCTGAAGGTGCCACAGACAGGAAGGACTTGTACCAACTCCTTTCATTAGTATTATGGCATATTCCATGCTGTCTGTCTGAAATATAACGGGGCAATATGAACTAGTGGGACTGCTGAGATCTCCTGGGAACATATTGTTCATGATTATTATGACCCATCCCACTTCTCGTTGGTCTGGGAGTTGTGTGACTATGATTTTCCTCCTGAGTGGTTTCAAAGTCTGACTGAGCTGAGCTGTTAGAAAGCTGGGTGAGTGGGAGGGGTGCAGAGGAAACATGAATGGCTTGTGTGGATTTCTGGTGTTTGTTTGAGAAATATCCTTTTAAAAGTAACCAAAGATGAACCCAGATCCTTAAATCTGATCTCTATCCTGGGCTTCAAAAAAAATCTGCAGTTGGTTTGGGCTCCTGCAAATCTCAGCTAATTGCAGTGGTGACAGTATGCTGAAAGTTGCATCCTACCACCTGCTGTCTTGGTCCACAGAGGCAATGAAGGCTGTAATGCTCTCATTAACTCTCTCTTACTCTCTTTTCTTTCCATTTGTGTTTTAAATTAAGTAGTGGTCTGGCTTTTAGTCAGCTGAAACAAAGGATTCCCCATGCTGGTAAAATAAAAAAGCCTTTTCATAGTCACAGAATAAAAGGGAAGGGCTGAGAAGAAATGGGTCACAGCTAGGGATGTACAGCCCCTGGAACTCCCACCCCTCAATGAGACTCACACTGAGCTTCCCAGCTGAGCAGTGTAATGTGTGGAGCTCTGTTTGCGTTTTGTTTGATGTCCTCTTCATTTCCTGTTTGTTAAGTGATCTGAAAGTAAAACAACCAGCCGACCAACCAAGGAAAAAAAAAATCCTTTCACAATTCTAAACGGGGCCCAGCTGTGTAAGCTGGGCTGCACAGGCGCTGACTGAGATTGCCAAAAGGGCCCATGTGTCTCTTATCCTCCACTCAGAGGGCGCTCAGCCCTTGCAGAGTGATTGCTCTCTCCTTCATCTCACTGTCTGCCCTCTTTTGAAAACACCTCTAGCAAGGCACTCAGATTCATTAACTCCTGAGCACAGTCTCTTTTGCCTGTCAAGGTCTGTCAGAACTAATGCCACTGGGGGTAAGAGAGGGGACTGGAAGCACAGATGGGAATGTCACATCAGTCATCTGTACAAGTGTAATATCGGCGGTCAAAGGAAAAGGACTTGCGGGAAAGATTTCCCAAAGCACCTTTTGATATTAGTACTGGAGGGTAAATGATCTTCAGGGACATGACCTGACTGCAGTTGCAGTGTGACTTGCAGTGGGTGTGTTATAGCCATAATAAATTGCACAGAGTGTGTCAGTTGTGACCTGTGAATGACGCAAAAAAACCCAATCCAAAACTTCAGGACCTTGCCAGCTGCTACAGGAATACAAGTTATAAAAGGTGTTGTCTTGAAAGTATTTGCTTTGCTTGGGAGGAGAGAAAAAAGTAGGAAGAGAAACTTGAACAAGAGGAATCTATGTGCACTGCTGCAACCAATATGAGAGTTAGACTACAAAGAAACAGGTCTCTGCAGACAAGAGGTAGGTAAATAACCATGCACCTCAGCTCAAGTAGAAATGAAACTACTTAATTCCAAATAAAATCTATTACTGCCTGAACCTGGAGCATGTTGACAAAGGCTTCAGTCTTTTCAACAGGCTCAGTAGTACTGAGTGAAGAGGGGGGAAATAATCCCAAGCACCTCTGTGCATACGAACTTTTTTTCAAAGAAAGCAGCAGGAGAAATTCATTGAATTGATCTTTCTCAGCATAACTTTATGAAGGGCAGCATAGGTAAGGCAAAATATGTTTTTCTTTCTGAAGGAGAAATGTCACCCTCTCACCTACTATTCATAATCTCCTGAGTACTTGATTGCTGTGTCTATAGATAGAGTTTGAACACACAGAATCATTTCCAAACTGATCCTCTTCAGTGACTTCTATAAAGTCACTTCATTTTCTGCTTCACCTTTGCCATCTGCAGAAGATTTTCTGATGGAAAACAGTGTTTAAGAGATATTTTCTGCATTTCCTTGCAAAAGCTGTTCCAGGCAGGAGACAGTGTTGTCCCTTCCTGACCCTCAGCTCAGAGGCAGGGTGTAGGATGGAGCTCAGGCACATGCAGTGGCCCCAAAGGTGAGTGGGGGACACCTCTTGCTGGGGGGACACTGGGTCACTGAGGGCCTAGCTGCTTCTCCTGGGCTGGCAGATTCTCAGAGGAGAGCATGGAGAACCCTGGAGGGAGCTTTGAGCTCCCTGCATGCTTTTAATGGAGGGAGAAGGGACAGAGGGGAGCTGGAGCAGGCTCTACAGGCTGTTTGGGGGCTAGTTGGTGGGGAAAGGAGAGGAAGCTGAAGGCAACCACTGCCTGTGGGAGAGATGTCAGCCAGGGCAATACTATCTTGGCACGTGCAGTTTTGGCTTGGAGAAGTGTGCAGGCATGTGCTTATTTCCTGCTGTCTTTTCCAAGTACCATCCTTAAGCCTTTTCTCAAGGCTAGGATAACTACACATTTGCAGTTTCTTAAGGTTGAGGGGACTGAGCCACCTCCACCTCCATCCCAGCAGGGATTCACCAGATCCTCATGGAGAACCTGGCAGAGGATGTGGCCCTGGGTGCAGCTGGGAGGCTCTGACTGGGTAGATGTGGGCAGGCATGCAGGACATGTCCAGCTGGGGGACAGCCTTGCAGGCAGCTCCACTGGGGTCTCTTCTCCACCCCACCCTCCATGCAGGTGAGCATCTGTGCCATCAGTGTGCAGGACAGTGTGTGTGGAGCTGTACAGGGGCAGGGGGCTGGCCCTGGCAGCCAGTGCCTGCAGAACAAGAAGAATCACACAGGAATATCTCTCCTATGCTTCTCCCAGGCTCCCATCGCTCATGACTCAGGGAATTCTGGCATTTCTACTGTTTTCTCTGTGTGCAGTGACCTAGGATTGAGCATCCATTGATTGCTGACCCCACTGAACGTGATTACTGGTTAGAATACAGAGACTTGATCCTGTGACTCAGCCCCTGGATTGTACATTCTCTTTCCTTAATTCCCATAGGAAACCAACATAATGGCAGTGGAAGGTTACTTGTATTTAGTTCTTCCCAAAGCTTGCTTTCTGCTTAAAAACATGCCTCGTGTTGTTCATGCATTCTCACTCTTAGGGGTGCCCATGAGCTTAGGCAAGGTATTTTTTTTGGTTTTTAGCAGATACCGTACTTGTCTGCATTTTCAACTTCCACACATCTTTCTCAGAATCTTTCAAAATAGTACAGCTCTAGCATTGGATGTCTGGGAGTGTTTCTTGCCTTCCTCCCCCTCCTCATTTTTTATTTAAAATCTTAAACTAATTCCAGGAAATCCAGATGAGATGAAAGCTTTCAGATCTAATATTCTAGATGCAAATCTTATTAAATTCCAAACCTCAAACCAAGCAACACTGAACACTGGGAATAAAACTGAAATGAAGACGATCAATCACTCTCAAGTCAGTTTAGCAGCTCATACAGACACATTCTCTGTGGTCTCATCACATTCATATTAATGGACAACTTTGCCTCTTGCATTATATTCCATACATTACACTGTGTAATTAGAAGCTAATTGGAAGCAGTAGGCAGCATGCCAATATTTGTGGTGTTCAGAAATCATTGAGAGCTTCAGTATTTGAGGAAAAACCTGATTATTTGTCAGAGACACTTCCAACTGTGTCTACAAAGAAAACATGCTTTTGGAGTCTCCTTCCTCTACACTTCTAGGTTCTGGGAAGCTGAACTACTTGCAGGTGCAATAGTAGGGAATTACATTTGTAATTAAAAGAAATCCTTAAGGGTCACAGATCTAACCACAAAGGTGATTATTAGGCCTGCCACCTGCCCTAGGCTAATCTCAACCTTAAGAAACTGCAAATGTGTAGTTATCCTAGCCTTGAGGAAAAGCTTAAGGATGGTACTTGGAAAAGACAGCAGGAAATAAAGCACATGCCTGCACACTTCTCCAAGCCAAAACTGCACGTGCCTGGTCGCAGGTACAGAGAGGATGCCCAGTTCACAGGTTGTATGAAAGACTTAAAGTTTGACTGGGAAAGCTGAATGTGGTGTTTTTCAAAAGTAAAATCAGTGGAGTAACTCTCACATCCCTTCAGAGGGGTAAGCATTCACAAGAGCAGCTGGTGGAGAATGTTTGCCCCGCACCAACCCCCTCCCTCTCCGGGAAGCCGCTTCCAGCTAACTATGGCCTCGGTTATGTTTATTACTTAGAGGGCTTTTGAATTGCAAGGATTCTCCATGTAAAGGAAAACCTCATCCTAAAATAGAAATCTGTTCTCTCTAGGCATGTCCTGTTTTATATTCTTGGCTACAGTTGTGAGATGGAGACAGTGTCTAGAGAACAAAGTCTGGAGCCCTTCTGTGGAGTAGAACGTTTGGAAATTCGGTCACCTGTCTGCAAATGTCTGCCTGTGCAGTGGCACTTCGTCCAGGAGCAGGTGAAGCTTGTTTAGACATTGGTTACAGACTCTGTATCTTTTTAACTCCTTAAGCACAGTTTTTCTGATCTCACTCTCTTGTTTGCTGGTGTATTTGTATATATTGCTGCCCAAAGGCTTTGTGGTTGTGTATTCCTGCTTTGATTGATAAGTAACTTTTAATCACCTATGTTGGTCCCCCACTTCTTGTTCCCTGAGTTATTGTTTCCACTTCTCATTGGAGTCATTGAAGCTCTGCATAGAGGAGAATAAATTATGATGATCTCTAGCTGCAAATTTTCTCCTGAATAATTCCCCATGCTACAATGCATGAAAATTTTTGAATCTGTAGAGATTTTTGTAAAAACTGTCTGAATGCTTGTGACTGGCAATTCTTACCATATCAGAAATTGGCCTACCAAATTAAATCTTTTTGTCTGTGAATAAGGATGTTTATCTTCATCCAGGTTCCAAATAGGTTCATGGTACTGGAGTAAAAACTAGAGAAAAATACATATTCTAGCCTGTAAGCCAACCACCCTTTATCAAAATCCCAAAGCAGGAGAAAGAAAAGAAAGGAAAAGGAGATATTCACTTAGAACTCTTCCAGAAGTATTCAGGATTTGTCCCTTTTTCTTTTTTAACCATTGGATTATATTTATTGGCTTAATAAACTTTAAGACTTTAAATATTCGAGACAATGAAAGTCTAGACTTTTTGTCATAAGGTCAGTATTTCAAACAGACTGATTTTTCTCCTTGCTTTTCTCCCTGCTTTTGGCCAACCAAGAAAAGCTGCCAAAGTTTATTGGCCAGATTGGCTCATTTAACCAGAACTGAATATCTCACCCACACACTAAACCACTGGGGTTTCCTCTAATGCAGTACATGTCAGCTATAACAAGTCCCTATTAATAATTAATTGAGTTCCTGTTGGGACTGCCTGAATAATTTTCTTTGTTTCTTGTCGAGCACCAGCACTCTGCAATAGCCTAATTTAGTCCAACTGACTGTGTCATGGGCAAGTACATCCATCCTGGATGCCTTGACCACCCTTTCACCATTTTCTTTATGACATGGTTTGAAGCCTTTAAAAAGGGCCCATAAGTGCAGATTTGTCATATTGTCTTGAAATCATGAAGGCTTAACCATTGAGGTGGCATGATAGGCACGTATGTTCTGGCTAATACAAGGTGGTTTAATATCTGATGACCTTGCTCTGGTAGCACACCTTCTTTCAGAGTGCTCCAGCCCTTGTGTTTTCTCTAGGGCTCAGGTCTTAGGGTGATGGATTGTACTGCAGAGCAAATAAGGGGGATTAGGCTGTGTGGTGTTTCTTCTGCCCTTGCTCCTTGAATGCTCTGGCCAGGTTAAGTGGTATTTCCATGCTGTGTTATATACCCAGGGCACTGTGCTCATCTCAGCAGTGCTCAGTGGCTCATGGTATGGGCAGTTACACTCGTGCCTTTGTCACAGACCCCATCTGGTGCTCTTTCTGGGGGGGTTAGGGGGTTTTTGGCGAAAGACAGCAAGAGCAGATGCCTGTGTTACAGCCCTAAGTTTGGAAGCTGAAGCCCTTTATGGTTTCCCATATAGATTGAGATGAACCTGACACTGTGTGTTTAGACCAAGCAGACCCCTGCTTCTTGGCTGACTTCTGACACTCCAGATTGCTCCAGGACACTGTTTATGGCTGCTGTCTGAGCTGGGGACCAGGCATGTTTGGTCTGACAGCGCTACTGGCAAGAACCAACAAATTCCAAGTATTAGACTTAGCTGGAGGGGTTTTATCAACATAAACATGGCAAATCCCAACAGAGTCCAGCACTTGCCCCTGTCAGCCCTGTTAAAAATAATAGTGTGTTAGGCTGGTCGAGTAAGTGGGCTACTCACAGTCAATCAGTGTGGAAATTTTGATATGACTCATTTCTTACACTTGCTCTTAGTTACAGCTAAGTGCTAAGTCCCAGCTGTGTAAAAGAGACCTAAATCAGTTTCAAAAGGACAAGAGGAAGAAAGTGTTTCATTCTCATATCAGCCCTTTGTTTTTGGCCACTATTTTCTTTTATTCAGAGGTACGCCAGAAATAATATTCTGTAAAAAAAAATTACAAGAAATTACAGAGGGTCATCGTTATTATTTAGTTTATTCATTATATGCCACTAATGTGGAGCAAGATTTATTTTTTTGTTTGGGTTCCAAAGGATAAAGGTCATTTGTTTTGCCTGAAGGCTTTAGTCATCAGTGAAGTTATTTTCCTGTTTCCAGCCCTGTTCTTTCCAGGACATGTGTCCTGCTATTTCAACTATCCTTTGAGTTGAATAGACTTAGCTAACCTGGAGTTCATGTCCCAACCTGCACCCAAAGTTGCATGAGATTGTGTTTTAAAAAACAAAACCTTGAGGATTTGATCAGCTTTAGTCTCCTTGAAGAGATAAGGAATATGTAGAATTTCTGAATCTACATACTTTATTCCTTGACCTGAATAGGTTTTTCCATTTCATGCTACTGGGATATAAAATTTGCACTGTCTCAGTATTTCCTGATTCATGAGGAGTCTCAGCTACTGCAAAGCCCACAAATAGCTGCACACCAAAAACTATCTGAAATTCTGTGAAGCAAGATTCTGCTTGGTCTAAAAGTGCTGGACCAGTCAGGACAGCAGGCTGGAGCTGACAGGGCTCACACAGACCTGCTTTGCAGAGAAAAACTGCTAATTTTTCTGAGGTACCTTTGAGGTGCCTTAAGGTAATCTCCCTTCAGGTGAGAGTATCTGTCAAACTTACCCCCTTTTGCCTGGAATGGACCATAAACCTCACCTTTATAGAATCATAGAATCACAGAATGGTTTGGGTCGGAAGGGACCTTAAAAATCATCTAGTTCCACACACACCCCCCCCCCCATGGGCAGGGATGACATTCACTAGATCTGATGGCTCAGAGCCCTATCCAACCTGGCCTTGAACACTTCCAGGGATGGGGCATCCACAACTTCTCTGGGCAACCTGTTCCAGTGCCTCATTACCATTTCAGTAAAGAATTTCTTCCTAAAATCTAATCTAAAGCTACCACTCTCTCTTCTGGTGTTCTGAGGAAAAAGCATGTTTTTATGTTGCTTGCCTGGACATGTGATAGTTGGTGATCATGAGGGTGGATAGGACACAACTCTTTCAGCTGTGTCGAGGTACCTGGTTAAATTGTAGGGCGGTTGAGGCCCTAAAATATATATATATAATTATATATATATAATTAATGAGGACTGTGTTATATATAGGGTTGAGCCCTCTTCTTTCCAATAGACTCTCTGACAGACCTTGAACATTTCCCTGTCCGGATCTCTGGAGGAAAGGAGGGCAGTGTCTTGTTGCTGCTGCCATCTATGAGGCTGAATATTCCTCCATGACAGGACAAAAGTTGGCTTTCACTTCTGGTGGGAATGACTACTGGAGGACCAGCATAGGCTGCTTCCTTTCCTGAGTAAGAATCACCCACTTCAGGCATTAATTATTCAAAGTTGATATTCCTGCATCATTTAGGAAGAATCTGGTGGCCCAAATGGCTCCAAGAATAGCTTCCCTTTGTTATTTTTTAATGTGAACATTTTAGTTTGCTTCATCATCCAGGGATGTTCTTGCTAGAACTATACACATCACCCTGCTGAAAGCACAGGAAGCATTAAACCTCTTAGCCCACTGCTTTTACCTGAATGCTCAGGGTTTGACAGACAGCAAACAGTTTTAAGGTCATAGTATATCTATCTACGTGTATCTCCAGAGATACAGGTACAGGATTGTGAGACTTTGATACTGCTTTTGTAAACAAGTGGCCTGCAAGCTGCCTGATCCACTGCATCAGTTGCATGCTTGTGGAATGCAAACCTTCCTGCCAGGGAGGAGAGGCTGCAACTGCTGCAGGCTCTCACCACATTACAGAGATCAGGCAACAGCAGTGTTATTTGTATCTGTGAGTGCTTCCTTGGGGTCATTGCAACAGTACTATCAATCAAATAAGCAAACCTCTGCAGTGGCATCACTTGTCTGTCCTGTTTAATTTTTTGAAACGTGGCTGGGGGAGAGGCTGCCAATGTAGGAAATAAAAATGGAACCCTTTGTTGTTTCACCCTCACTACCCCAGAACGACTACGTGGGTAAAGTAACCCTTTTTTAGCCTGTTTGGTTTTCACAGTGCATTGCAGTCTGAGAATAACTGGCTGCACATTTTCCTCTGGATAGTTGTTCTAGTTATGTGTGATTATTAAATGTTTTTATCATGTTGATGGCCCAGCCAGAGCCCAGTCTGAGGTACACAAACAAATACATAGTGGAAGATGATGGTTGCTCCCTATGCAGTCTCAGAACAATGTAGGAAACAGCAGGTGGCTATGATGAGCTGAGCACTAGGTGAGAGAGCTGTGTTTGGTGTAAAAAGCATTAGTCATAGCAGAGCAGCTCCCAAGCCATTTGTAAGAAAGGATGTGAGAAGTTTTAATTTTACTTTAAGTGAAAGTCTGTTAGCCTTTCACACAACCAAATCAGGTGGTGGACTTGCAGGCAGATACATATTGACTGAAATAGCATGAAGACATTTCATCCTGCCCTTGAATGCCAAAAATTTGGGCCTAAACCTAAAGTAAGAGATAAAGTATTTGGGAATATTATAATAAAGCCATAAGTAGCTTCCAAATGCTTCAGCTTCCAGTCCTGTGTCCTACCTGGCTCTCCCACCCCAGGGAAAAGAGTTTCCTCTGTGATGTTGTTTCCCATTAGGCTGGTACTGGTACTGCCAGGTGGCTCAGCAGGGCAGAAGACCATAGGACAGCATGGGAGATAAAAGGTATGGCTCCACAGGTTATTGAAGATCCTGTCATGAAGGTGTTTGTCTCTCTCACCCTCTCTCCCACCTCCACCTGCTCCACTCCAGCCATACATCCCACTGCTTTGCCTCTGACTCTTTTGGTGCTCACTCAACCCACGTAGGAGCTGATTTAAATGACTGACTAGAACTAGTTTTATGCTGAGACAAATTCAATTGACTGCTGGCACCTGGCAGGTCTCAGGAAGGGACTGGGCTGTGTAGCTGGGAGCAGGAACAGGAG